ACGCGTTTAAGTTTTCCACTTGTTGTCAATTTTAATTTTCTTTTACTCATAATAAATATTGAAAAATATTTTTTATTACGAAAATTAAAAAAAAAAATTTCCCGTGTTCTTGGGATTTGTGTAATGAAAATCCATTCGCAATGGAAAACACGTTTATTAATTCTCAGTTTTAATGGAGCTGCAGTTGATTGAACCTAAATATAGATGAGGAACAAACAGTGACTCAGTTTTTTTTTCTCTTACTTGCATTGTCTGTAACCTTTGCTTACTCGTGGCCTTATATGAGGTGAAATGCAGATTGATTAACACAATGAGATAGATAGATAGATATTAACACAATGATATATATATAGAGAGAGAGATAGATAGATAGATTGATATTACAATTAAATAGATAGATAGATAGATATTAACGCAATGAGATAGATAGATAGATATTAACACAATGATATATATATATAAATTTATAAATAGAGATAGGTAGATAGATTGATAGATAGTAACAATGAAATAGACAGATATTAACACGTGATAGATATTAACACTAATGATATATATATATATATATATATATATATATATATATATATATATATATATATATATATATATATATATATATATATATATATAGAGGGGAGAGATAGATAGATAAAGGGAGATATTAACACAATTATATATATATATTAAAGACATTTTTATGTTTAACGTTCTTTTTATAGATACAAGTATTTAAGTAAATACTCTGTTTATAATAAACAGTATTAAATAACATTTACCGGCCTGAATATCCGAGAAATTTTCATAGAAAATATTCGTCCTTTGACTGGATTCGAACCTGCATCCTATACGGAACCGTCATTTACGCTGACGTGCCTTAACCGACTCGGCCACAAAGGAGCGTTCGGACTTTGTCCATTTCTTAATATAATGATATATATATATAAATATATAGATAGATAGTTATTAACACAATGAGATAGATAGATAGATAGATAGATAGATAGATAGATAGATAGATAGATAGATAGATAGATAGATAGATAGATAGATCAAACTAATATTGTTCTTTTATTCAATTGTCTTACTCCCAAACAAAGGGATAATGCCACTACGGCACAGGTGGCTACTCGGCGTGAAAGAGAATGAAAAACATGCAGGAAGCATGCAATAAACCTCTACCCCTGTTTAAAAGACCAGGGAGGAGTGCGAACCGGGTGTTAGGCGCAACTATCAACAATGTTTTAAAGTTATGGAAGCCTATTACGAAAATGGACGCTCAAACAGAAATGCATTTCTCGCATTTCGCGATTTTTGGATTCAACATAATCGACCAATCGAGAATGCAATTGAAAACGATGTAACGTTGTTGTGAAGAGGTTCAATTCCTGCGCGTGATGACGAATAGTGGGGTCTGGATTTTTCAGCCACATTCTCGTGCACTGCAGCAATTTTTTTCAGCTGAACGGCGTATATGAGCACGCATTGGTGTTTTCACATCTGCCACTGACCTAGTTTGTTTGAATTTACAAACAATTTTTCCAATTGCACTCTTGAAACTTTAACACGTTGTTTGATTGTTAATCTTTCCATAGATGAAATTGCCAAAGACTTAAGTTGTTAAAAGAAAAAAATATATATAAGACGCTTAAACTTAATTCACATTTAAAATCGGCCCAAGTTATTGGAACAGCCTTTATATTAAATCTAAAAAAAAAAAAAAAAAAAAACAATCTAAAAAGTATTTATGATTTAAAAATATTATTTCTAAAATGCATTTAAGTTATCAGAATCCACTTTGCTTAAAAAACAGCACAACGCTCACGTGACAACAGCGGCATTCAAAACTCAAATTTCAAAATCCTTTCAAAGATTCAAATTGCGAAACGGACTTTGAATTTCATTTCATTTAATTTCTTTCTCGATAATGACTGAAGCCCGTCACAAGGTCGGCACTTTAATAAGATCACGAACTTATACAATTTTAACACCAAGATAGGACAACTAATCCGGCAAGAAAAAAAAAATCTCTTAAAAGGTATAATTATCATTTTTGTTGTTGAAGTTGTATTTTGTACCTACATTAGCCGTACCACCGAAAATGTTTTCAACAAAACCATACGGTTTTTAAGAAAACATTCTATTAAATAGGAATCAAGTATTAAAATCCTTTCCGTGGGAAGATTCGCCCGTCGTTAACAACAGATTCCAAGTTTAAAAGTATACATCTCTTAATAAATAAAAGTACTATTTTCTGAAAGAGGAGCGCTTCCCGTAAGGGTTGTGACCCTACGCTTAGTTGGAGGAAAAGAAAAAAGAAAGTTTCTTTTTGATAACACGGCTTTTTACAGACGCCAGCCAGCTACTGTTGCTACGAGATTGAAAGTTGCAGATAATGTAAAGTTTGATATAAGATTAATTTCTCTGAGCGCCCAGCTAGAGCGAATATACGGAACGAGCCGGGCAACCATTAAATGAATCGATTCAAACGAATATTCTGCGACAAAGACTTTAATTTCTGAAAGGTTGGAGAGCGACTGTCTGTCAGGTTTTGTAGCAGAGTATTACGGCCCTGAAATTGAATATTCACAGGTCGGATTTAATAACAACGGCAGTTTGATTTTTATCATCCTTCTTCTTCTTCTTCTTCCTCTTCTTCTTCTTTTTCTTCTTTTTCTTCTATGTTTGTGGTCGTCCTCGAAGTAGTTTGATGGGTGCCGCCATGTCGATCATAGCCGGTGGCATTAGTCTGCGTCGAGGAGAGAGAGTCAACAAAACTCGGTATTCATTTTAATTGGTGTCACTCCTACGAAACGTCAGCCGGGATGAAAAGCCCCGAGCAATTGGGTTTATATCTTCATCTTTTTTTTCTTTTCTTTTTTTTTAATATGCAGCGCTGATCTGATCTCATGAAAATAAGAAATTTCTTATATATTTGATTTCTGTCTATCTATCTATCTATCTATCTATCTATCTATCTATCTAAGTCTTTTTTATATCTATCTATCTATCTATCTATCTCAGTCTTTTTTATATCTATCTATCCATCTATCTAAGTCTTTTTTATATCTATCTATCTATCTATCTATCTATCTATCTATCTCAGTCTTTTTTTATATTTATCTATCTATCTATCTATCTATCTATCTATCTATCTATCTATCTATCTATATATCTATCTATCTAAGTCTTTTTTATATCTATCTATCTATCTATGTATCTATCTATCTATCTATCTCAGTCTTTTTTTATATCTATCTATCTATCTATCTATCTATCTATCTATCTATCTATCTATCTATCTATCCCAGCCTGTTCATATCTATCTATCTATCTATCTATCTATCTATCTATCTATCTATCTATCTAATTCCCTCCCGCTTTCACTTATAAATGTTGGCCACAGTTTAAGTTGACACTTTTTGTAATCGAACTTGCTCTGTCGTTTCTGCGCCAAACACATTTAAATCGCTCTCAAAGCACTCTCTCTTCTTCTCTCTCTCTCTCTCAATATATATATATATATATATATATATATATATATATATATATATTGTGTATTTCGGCAGCAATTCTTCTTTCATGCATGTTTCATTAAATATGATATACAAGTTACTTTGATTAAGTTTTTAATATAATTTCTCCTATGTTCTTATATTTTTTCTTTTCAGTGGATAAATTATACAAAAAACTGTCCAAATGTTATATTTTTGCGAGCGCTTTCGGCTATACATTTAGTCATTTTCAAGGAAGAATTATATTAACTGTTAACTAGAAATAATAATATCAACTATGAACATGGACAAAATATGTTGGCAGTGTTTTGAAAATGAAAACATTATACTATTTACATTATGACTCTATATTTATTACAACGTTTCGGCCCTTGTACGCTCCGGCCTTCTTCAGGTGGTTGGAATGTCGAACTGAACTCTTTATTTCGCTCACTGGGGTAGACTGTTCTAGTTCCACCCGATGTTTTTAATGAATGTCAGTTATCAGTGTTAATTATCCTCTCCAAAGTTCTCCACCACCTTAATCGGGTATTGAACTCACACTCTTTGGGTCCTGTCACTGGATTTAACCATCGTCTTTATCCACTGTGTCATGTGTTCTTGAGGACATCAGTGTATGAATTTCAGCAACTTTCTTTAAAAGTGTTCATAATGCAATTTTTGCGGTTATCATTCATGTTTTTTGCTGTTATTATCACTTTTCTCTGGCACTCCTTATTACTGGTTCCTATATTGTATTCATTTCTATGCTTGGTCGGCTCAGGAGATTTTTGTGTCAGAGCATATGTGCTGATTCCTTACGTTTACTAATTTTCCAATCTGATCCCGCAGAGGACGGTGATCTCCCTTTTCTTTCCATATATGGTCAGCCACGCCTGATTTTTCCACTCCCCTTAACTTAAGGGGGCAACCTGTCTCCCCTTTATATTTCTTTCCGCAGCTGCGCGGGATAGCGTACACACAGTCTTTAGTCATGTTCTCCGCTATGGGGATGGAGAGATATCTGCGAAGTGTCATCCAACTTTTGAAGGTTGTCCTGATGTTATATGGACCGCAGATCCTTTGTATTTTCTCTGATAACCCCTTCACATAAGGCAGGCAGTCCTGTTGTCCTCCTCTTGTACCCGCCTATCCCAGTTTTTTTTGGCTGCTGCCATGTACCCAGAGTAGTTGTTACGTTGTAGGGTACTACTTATACTGACCAAGTCTTTAGTTACCGGATAGCACCTCAATTTCGACTCCCACTATCCATACAGCGTAAAGAAAGGGATCGTCCGCTGCTTACAACACCGAGCAAAAGTCATAAGTGGCGACCCAGAGACATTACATCGAGCAAAAACAAAACACATATAAACTGCCGATTGTGTATAAGCATGAAATAGACAGTCACCGCTTGGTTTTGGCTTCAATGTCCATATATATATATATGGACATATATATATATATATGTCCATATATATATATATATATATATATATATATATATATATATATATATATATATGGACATTGAAGCCAAAAAACTGTTATGACTATATATATATATATATATATATATATATATTTGTCAATGCAAACTTAATTTAATTTATGTACACATGTAAATTAATTGACATCTCTTTTCCTTGTATACTTAGAAAAATGTTAATCAGTCTCTCTCTCTCTCTCTCTCTCTCACTATTTTTAAACACACACACACACACACACACACACACACACACTACGCACAATGCATCACCGACTTGTATATATAAATAGTGGAGCAAAAACACAACACATATAGCCTGTCGATTGTGCATAAGTATGAAATAGACAGTCACCGCTTGGTTTTAGCGTCAATGTCCATATATATATATATATATATATATATATATATATGTATATGTGTGTGTGTGTGTGCATGCACGATCTTTGTTAATGCAAACTTAATCTATGTACACATGTAAATTAATTGACATCTTTTTTCCTTGTGTACTTAGAAAAATGTTAATCAGTCTCTCTCTCTCTCTCTCTCTCTTTCACTATTTATCTATCTCTAAACACACACACACACACATACACACACACATATGTAACGCATACTTAAACAGAAAGAATTCATTCCAATACGTTTTACTTAAATCAATTGACATTTCGTTTTCTGCTGACTTTTTTCATTAGACGTGTTCAAAATGTATGTTAATCCCGTCGTCATGATGGAGTGGCTTTCGTGTTCCTATGACCCGGTGAGCAATATTAGAAGGAATTTATCTCCTGGTTTCTCCATCTTGGTCAGACAGGTCAATGGGTAGGCGCCATAAAAGGAAAAAGAAAAAAAAAACAACCTTAGTCACCTATAGGAATAATCCTTAATGACAGATAATCTAGATTGGATAGCAGATCTCTTCTGTTATAGAGATTAGGCAACTATCAACAAAAACTGATACATTGGCTTGTTTTACGCTAATCGATGGCAGAAGGAACGTCAACTACAGCGGAGTGGCTGAACCAATTCTAGTTGACTGAATATTCTGCCATTGTTCGAACGAGTTACAAACTCTTGCGAGGAATTCAAATTGAAAAATAGTATGGCTGATGCGTCCAAGCTTACATACAAATAGAAGAATAAAAAGGAAAGGAGGAGGAGGAAGAGTAGGAGCAAGAAGAGATGGAGGAGGAGAAGGAGAAGGAGGAGGAGGAGGAAAAGGTAAAAGAAGACGAGGAAGGGAAAGAGAATGAAGACGTGGAAGAAGAAGAGAAAGAAGAAGAAACAGGAAGACGAAGAGGGGAAAGAGAAGGAAGAGGAGGAAGAAGACGAAGAAGAGAAAGAAGAAGAAGAAAAGGAAGAAGAGGTGGAAGAAGAGAAAAACGAAGAAAAAGAAGAAGAAAACGAAGAGGTGGAAGAAGAGAAAAAGAGAAGAAGACGAGGAGGAGGAGGAAGAAGCAGAAGGAGAAGAGAAATTGAAGAAGAAGAAGAAGAAGAAGAAGAAGAAGAAGAAGAAGAAGAAGAAGAAATATATGTAACAGCTAATTCCAAAAATTCCAATGAATTCATGAAGTTTTAATTTCCTTTGTCCATCACTGGTCATTATCAAGAACGTTAATATCAATTATAAAAGAAAAAGGTTTTGATGAATTTTATCCTTGGATTGTTTTAGAAATTTTATAATTCAATTTTTTAATCTACGTCTATTGAATACAATTAATAATCATGTGTCGAACAGTTTGTATTCATTTGAATTGATATGCATTTACATTATTTTAAAAATCTTTTTAAGGTCAAGAAACTTGACATCGCCCGGGGACAAAGATATTAAATATCTTTTATTGTCAAAACATATTTTAAAAATGCCTTCCTCTGTAGTAAAAGAGATTACCTTTAACATTTTTTTTTCAGTGAAAATAGCTTCAGGTATGTTGAATCGTTTTTAGTAATTAGTTTGGTATAGTATTATTTTCGAGAACTGAATCCAATCGTCGTATTGTCGTTTGGTGCGATGTATTGATCAGTTTTTTTTTCTGTTATCATTTCAAAACCAGGAAGATCAATAGTTTTCACAATTGTTTCTTTCTTTTTTGTCATTCTAAATAACCTTTGAGCCTTACCCTCTCTCTCTCTCTCTCCCTCCCTCTCTCTCTCCCCCTCCCCCCTCACTCTCTCTCTCTTGATACTTGGTCAGCCATCAACAACATTAAGTCATTCATTGTTTTCTTCGTCTTCCATGGCCTTCACCCTCTCTCCTCTGAGTGCAAAATTCAACAAACTCTCTTATCTGTCCCAGAAATATTAATAAACAAATTGTAAGTGTAATTTTTTTAGTTACTATTTTTCTTAAGACTTCCTTCTTTTAACCTGATGGAGATGCTGACATTCTGTACACAAACACACTTCAGAATCGGATCAAACATATATCGACAGGATGAAGGTTTAGCAATGGGCTCGCCACTATCACCAGAAATGGCAAACATATACATGGAATACTTCGAAGAAATAGCATCAGAATCCACATCACTAAAGTCTATGGCTGAGATACGTTGATGAGATATTCATATCCTGACCACACCAGGAAGATGTGCAGCTACTACTGGACCATGTGAACTGAGGATCGTTGATTCAGTTGACAATGGAGAAAGAAAATAACAAAAAATTGGTTCACTGTGTTGTGCGAGAAAATTTTCTCTACAGAATCTATCCTACATATCTGTAACTCTACCATTCGACCACGTTTAGGATATCGCTGCCACATCTGTTCCGGCACTACTGGTTTTTATCTATTAATCTGGAGTTCCTTGATAAAACCCAAAGAAGAATCAGCAATATTATCAGTCCTGATCTGGCACCTCAGCTTCAGTCACTTTTCCGCATCCATAAGGTTGCTCCTCTATGCCTTGTCTATAAATAGTTCCATAGTAATTGTTAGGAAAAAGTCTTCGCTATGATAACTAGAATTTTTATAATTTAAGCGCAGTACTAGACTGGCGTAAAGATTTAATCAATTTACAGTTGATCTGGATAGATGTAACCGTAAATTTTATGCTAGCATTTTCTTTTCTCGCACTTATCGCTTGTGTAACACCTCTTCGGGTCCATGCTTTTTAGCTAACTTTAATCTACAAAAAATTAAATGCAATGTCAATCGCTATCTACTGTCCTGCTGATTACTCTTCTCTCTTCCCGATCATTATTAATGTTTCTGTTCCTAATTCTTCCACACCCAGTAATCCCTTGCATCTTAGTGGCTTTACTGCCTTGCTTGTGGAACTCCCTTCCGACTCCATGCTTTACAGTCAACTTTAATTTAAACAAAATTAAATGCAATGTCAATCGCTATCTACTGTCCTGATTACTTTTTCCTCTTCCAGCTCATTATTAATGTTTCTTTTCCTAATTCTTCCACACTCTGTAATGCCTTACGTCTTAGTGGCTTTATTGCCTAACTTGTGGAACACCCTTCCGGCTCCAGGCTTTCCAGTCAAATTTAATTTTCAAAAAATTAAATGCAATGTCAATCGCTATCTATTGTTCTACTGATTACTCTTTTCTCTTCCCTTTCATTATTAATGTTTCTGTCCCTAATTCTTCCACACCCTGTAACCCCTTGCGTCTTAGTGGCTTTACTGCCTTAAATGGTGGGATACTGATTAAAAAATAGTGTTTTTAATATGATACCAAACCTTGATAAGTGGCAAATTAGTCGACAAGTATGATGTGATGTAACTAATGTTTTTCTAATACTTAGAAATATAATCCCCTCGCACCAAATTGGCTTTCTCTGCCTGCTGTTCATTTTCTCTATATCTACCTGGGAAAGACTTTCTCTCTCTCTCTCTCTCTCTCTCTCTCTCTCTCTCACTCTCTCTTTCCCATGTCATTATCCCCCTCTCTCTCTTTCTCTCTCTTTGTTTTCCTTCTTATTTCTTCCTTCGTTTTTTTTTCTTTATCAATGCAACCCTTTCTCTCCCTTTCCTTCTCTCTCGTTTTCTTCCCAGTTTCTTAAAGTTGTCACTTTCTAACCTCCGAGGTTCTCTCTTCCGGTTTCCATTATTCTGTCTCTTTCTCCATTTCCTCCTTCTAATTGTCATTTTCTTTCTCACTTACTCCCCCTTTTCTATCTATCTATCTATCTATGTCATTCTGTCCACATCTATCTATCTATCTATCTATCTATCTATCTATCTATCTATCTATCTATCCTATCATGTCATTCTGTCCACATCTATCTATCTATCTATCTATCTATCTATCTATCTATCTGTTCATATCTATCTATCTATCTATCTATCTATCTATGTTCATATCTATAGATCTATCAACCTATCGGGCTATCTATTCATCTATGTATCTAACTACTTATCTATATGTACTTATCTCTCTCCATATCTATCTCAGTCTGTTACATCTTTTCTTTCTCTCACTCTCTCTCTCTCTCTCTCTGTATATATATATATATATATATATATATATATATATATATATATATATATATTGATGCATGTTTCATCAAATATTATAGACAAGGGCTGAATACAGAGAACTGGTGCAAACATGCCACAAGGTCCCCAAACAGCCTTCCGCAGGTTTTGAATTCAAAGTTGTCTTTCACCTAGACCCGTTGCCTTCCAAGGTTATGGAGCCCTGCTAATTATCCATAGCTGGAGGGAGAAGAAGAGGATTCATATCTTTCCCCAGGGTATTAACACGTAAGTGAATCTAAGGGATTTGACTGGAATACGAACTCGCCTCTCCGCCGTTACCCATTGCTCCACAGTATGTATGTATGTATGTAGGTAACCTGGCCATGTGGTCAATGCAGTCGGATATGTCGGTCTAGGGCAGGTCTGCTCAGTCACCAGAAATCCCACTAACACCAACAGTCTACTGTATATGAGGATTTCTCAATTACATGCTAGGAATGCCCGACCTGCACTAGGGTGTGCAAGTCCAGGTCAGGCCTGACAGGGCAGATAAAAAGACATATTGGAAGTGATGATGATCAAATTCACCTTCCATCAACCAGAGATGATTTGATATGTCATATATGTGACAAGAACTGTAAATCGATGGCTGGTTTTATGAGCCACTGTCGTTCACACAACAAATGAATGCAGTGTCGTGGGGAGGACTTTAAGTGAAGGGCTGAACAAATCAGTGATGGTCATACTCGATTTGCGAGTCAACAGCCAACATATATATATATATATATATATATATATATATATATATATATATGCTCCTGAAAAATTTATTTCAGTTGAGCTCTCTGGGGAGGAAGTGTGGGTTTGTAAACAGTGACTATTACGGCTAATAATGCAAGACTCTTCGGTAAATCGAATCGAGTCCTCTCAGTCACTGTGTGTTTATCTAAAAATAAATATACTTAATATCACGTTCGACCCTGCCGTGCACCAACGGCTTTGTGGTAAAATCCTCGACTGACGCCAATTCAGTCGGGTTTCGATCCTATCTAGCGGCGATCGGACGTCTAGACACACTGATGAGCTGTGATACAACGAAACAGCTCATCAGTGTGGCTAGACGTCCGGATGAGCTGCGATACAACGAAACAGTCTGTCTGTGGATGACACTATATATATATATAGTGTCATCCAGAGACAGACTGTTTCGTTGTATCACAGCTCATCGGTGTGGCTAGACGTCCGATCACCGCTAGCTATATATCTTCTATTTTTCACAGATTTTCTTATTTTCATAGCAAGTTTAATTTAATTAGTTAATTTATGTTGAAAACTTTTATTGTTTGTTTTAGTTTGATTTGTGTATGTGTGTGTGCATGCGAGTTTATCTGTGTGCGCGTGTGCATATGTCTATGTGCGTATGCGTAAATTGTCGTAGCTTGTCAACCATTTAATTATTTATTGTCCCCTACCCCTGTTCCCTACTCTGTCTATTTTTCTTTCTCTCAAAAGATAATTTAAATTTAATTAATTAATTCATGCCAGAGTTCTTCTTATTGATTGATCTTTTTGGTCAGATAAATACGGAGAAATTATTCATTCCAATGTATAGGGTGCGATGGATAAATTGTCGTCCTGATGCCGCACATATTAAAATAACACTGACATCTTATTTTAACAGATATATTGACCAAAAATTGCACAAAAATATCTCGAAATATTAGAGAGTAAATTTATTCAATAAAATCGCCATTGGCTTCAACCAGACGACTTTGGAATCTCCTGCAACTCTTCTGGCCGGTCTCTTTCTTTAAGCTGGTGAATGCTGCCATAATCCTCACCTTCAGTTTATCTTTGCTGTTTCAAAGAGTTCTATTGTTCTTTTGCACCCCACACATAATGCAGCATGGGGAGTTAGGTGCCCAGATGCAAGGTGTTATGTGGTCGCGGAAATTGTCTGATAGCCATGACTGTTTTCTCCTGCTTCTGTGGCATGTTGTAGAGTCTTGTTGCCAGACATAGGGTCTTCCAGCAGCCACCCTCTTGAACAAGGGCAACACGACCTCATCAAGGCACTAGATGTAGGCCGCTGTATTGATACAGGGGCCCTGTGGGAAGATGAATGGAGACATAACGTCTCCATTACTAGTAATTACGCCATGCACATTCGTGATTGCCATGAAACACATCCAACTTTCTGAATCATCTGCACTGTCCTCAAATTGACACTCAAACATTCCGAAATGTTCGTATTGCATCTCGTGGCGTGAATTCCAAGCAGTAAAGCATGCCGTTTTCTCATAGACGGTTCCCAATTGACCCTCACTATACTACGCAGACGACAATATCAAAACAACGCGCATGCGCAAAATTAAAATCATAAATGTCAACAATTCACAATGTATTAAATATCCTATATATATATATATATATATATATATATATATATATATATATATATATATATATATATATATATGCGTGTGTGTCTGTGTGTGTCTTTATTTATAGGTATCATATCTTAATTCTAATATTTCACTACATAATAGACATATGATGTCTACTTATTTTTATACTAATTCTTTCCTGTTATCTTGATGTTAAGATGAAATTCATTAAGGAAGGCGCCGTAGTTTTTTTTAATCCCAAGTACTTTTCTAAAGAAAAAAACGTTGTAATATCTTCAGAGATAAATTACAAGGACAAACTTATTGTAACTGCCACAAAATTAACATTACATTGTGATTCTGATTTTTTGAAATATGCGCGAAGCAACCAACACTCAACAAAATTTATTGCGAATATAGCAACAATATATTAAAGTGCTTATAACATTTCATGACATTTTGCATTTCTACTGATATCCGGTACCCTCCCCTATATAGAAACGATTGTTTTGCAAACAAATACCGTAACTACAAAGGATAAAATTAAAATATATATATATATATATATGCACACAGGTAAGATGAGAAGAAATAGAGTACAATTCCAACGTTGTAATATTTAGTTTAAAAGATGGCTCAATACAAAGTCGAGCAATATTCTTTATTTTAGAATATAACACCCAAAACATGTCAAAATCGCTACACAATTGCAGTCGTGTTTCGATGAGTATACGACGCATCTCATCAGGCGATTGCCAATTACTGGCGAGTGAACGATTTATTCAAATTTAATAGCAAAATACAGCCTCTTTTTACGAAAAGAAAAGTAAAGAAAAAGGAGGTGTTATAAAACTTGTGGGCTTTACTCAGATCAACCAATCGAATAGGACCTACGTTAAATTTAAACTAAGGGAAGAAGCAAAAATTAAGAAATTATTTTTCATAAATGGGCCATGAACGTAGATTTGAAATCAATGGCAGCAACAGACGTTAAATATGAGCGGATATACATGAATCATATATATATATATATATATATATATATATATATATATATATATATATTTATTAGATGAATTATTATCTCTACGTTAGATTTTTGACCGCAACTGGTTATAATGATGATAAGATGTTTCCATAGAACTGTAATGATGAGTTGGTAAGATTCTCTCTGTGGCAAGTTATGTGATATTGCTGAATATTAATGAAGGAACAAAGACAGATGTCAATTCATCTGTTGTGACCGTACCCTGTACTCCATTATACTAGGATCCGAAGAAGTGATGAAAAACGTTTATCAAGATATTATTAGCGCTGTCTTATTTGTTCAAAATCAAGTCCTATGGTGGTGAAATTAGAATGACTTATATGAGGCGGACCCATATGTAGGCCAATCGCTTCCCAGTCTTCCTGGTTCCTCTTTTGGCCGTACCAACAAGATCCAAATGAATTCCTGCCTTCAGGAGTTGCTTTAAAGTTGTCAGTATTGTCAGCCAACAGCCCTTGAGGCTCCACTCTTTGTCTGGATTTACTTCCATAGCCTTTTCCGTGTTTGGATATGACCACAAGGCAGCAGGGGTTTCAAATCAACGTATTCCTTTCCTTAGATCGGTGGTTACAAACGGTGTGACGGAAGAAGATAGCAGGTGAGGCGGAAACACAATAGGTTTAGAAACAGTTTGAAAAAATTGATATGCCAAAAATAAATATGATTTCAGAATTTAAACTATTATTATAGATGACTTGTATTTACATATGTGAGTCGTAGTATAAATAGTTATTAAGGATAGGATTAAGAATATAGTAACCAGGGTGCACAAATTGGAGGATAGAGTTATCAATGATAATGTTCTGACTTCGAATCCGTGGTGATCTTTCTTTAACCACTACTCTGGATCTTCTTTGCTGTAAGGCTGCTTGTGCCTTTTTACCGGGAATTCCATTTGGTGAGTCGCGAGCAAATTTTCATTTTGAAAATGCGGCCCAGAAAAAAAAAAAAGTTCAACAACCTCTGCCCTAGATTCATTGCATTCCGAAGCTGACAAGCCCCATCTATCCGAAACAGTTGGTTATCAGTTACCAGTGCTATGCCTTCGCCTCTTCTCCGGCATTTAGCTGTACTTTGTTGTCAGAGGCTATTTGAGGTGCATGCCACAGAAGCAGTTTATAGACAGTTAGAATTAAGCTATTATACTTTGGTTATGAAAAAAAAAAAAAAAAAAAAACAAAAAAAAAACTGCGAGGCGACCTCAAGAGTTGACGATCTGGCTATCATTAAAATACAAACTTTCCATTTAATGTCTGCCATTCTTATTTCACTTTGATGGTACGCTTACAACCCTTACACGAAATAAAACTCTTAAAGCGGCCGATGTTTATGGCAGTGCCATACAAACTACCAATATTACCAAGGCCTCTCACATTTATTGACACTTCAACGTTATAATATCCGTCTTGTTGTTTCGTAGAAGCAACATGGTTAATTTTTCTCTTTTTCTACGCATTGCTTTCTAATATTTATCGTTTGCAAAAAAAAAGAAGGCAAACGTTTTTCCTAGACGAAAATAAATTGGATTGTGCTCTGTGATTTCATTGTCAACCTTTCAGGCCGCAAAGATCTTTGGATATTTCAGTATTCCTTATCCTTTTAGTTCTTCGCAGCCATTTTTTATAATATATTCATTTTCGGTTTTGGGATTTTCTTTTCTTTCGGTTTGGGATTTGCCTCTTTCTTTCTTTCTACATTCTTTTTTTTATTTTTTTTTTATTCACTTTTTTTTTTTCTTTTTTTTTTATGTATTTTCCTTTCTTTTTTTTTCTTTTCTTTTCTTTTCTACATTCTTTTTTTTTTTTATTCAGCTTTTTTTTTTTTTTTTTCTTTCTACATTCTTTTTTTATTTTTTTCTTTTTTTTTTTTCTTTCTTTCTTTTTTCTTTCCTTTTCTTTTTTTATTTCTTTTTTTTTTCTTTCTTTTTCATTTTCTTTTTTTATTCAGCTTTTTTTTCTTTCTTTTTTTTCTTTCACATTTTTTTATTCAGCTTTTTTTTCTTTCTTTTTTCTTCTTTCTTTCTTTTTCTTTCTACATTCTCTTTTTATTGCTTTTCTTTCTTTCTTTCTTTTTTTTTTTTTCTTCTACATTTCTTTTTTATTCAGCTTTTTCTTTCTTTTTCTTTCTTTTCTTTCTTTCTTTTTTTTTTTTTCTTTTTCTTTCTTTTTCTTTTTTTCTTTCAGCTACTTTCTTTTTTTTTTTTTTCTTTCTTTTTCTTTTTTCTTTATTCAGCTTTTTTTTTCTTTCTTTTTTTCTTTCTTTCACATTCTCTTTTTATTCAGCTTTTTTTCTTTTTCTTTTTTTTCTTTCTTTTTATTCAGCTTTTTTTTCTTTCTTTCTTTCTACATTCTCTTTTTTATTCAGCTTTTTCTTTCTTTCTTTTTTCTTTCTTTCTTTCTTTCTTTCTTTCTACTTTCTCTTTTTTATTCAGCTTTTTCTTTCTTTTTTCTTTCTTTCTTTCTTTCTTTTTTATTTTCTTTTTTATTTTTTTTTCTTTCTTCTTTCTTTCTTTCTTTTCTTTCTACATTCTTTTTTTCTCTTTTTATTCTTTCTTTCTTTCTTTCTTTCTTTTTTTTTTTTTTTTTTTTTCTTTCTTTTTCTTACTTTTCTTTCTTTTTTTATTCAGCTTTTTCTTTCTTTCTTTTCTTTTTCTTTTTTCTTTCTTTTTTTCTTTCTTTTCTTTTTTTTTTTTTTTTCTCCACTTTCTCTTTTTTTTCCTTTCTTTTTTCTTTCTTTCCTCTTTTCTTTCCTTTCTTTCTTTTTTTTTCTTTGTTTGTTTTTCTGTTTGTTTTTCTTCTATTCTCATCTTCACTTCTCAATGAGAAGATAAGACAACGCAATTTTCACCTGTCACCTTTCATTCAATGTCCTTGTAATTTTCTAATCAGTGCCGTAACATTTGGGTCCTCATAAGGCACCTTTTCTTTCTGGAAAAACGCGATTCATCATTAAATTGACTGACGAGACTAACTGACACGAAAGATTATCGGCATCTTTTTACTCGCTTCCATTTTGGCCGCCATTTTATTGTCTTATTTATTGCTATACACTTTATTCATTGGCTTTAATGTCTTTCATGGCCATCAAGCTGCTTTATTTGTGTCTCAAGTTATCATGACTTCTTTCTCTACTTTTTTTTTCCTTTTATTTCTTTCGTTTTACTTATTTCCTTCCTTCATTTCGTCTTTCATTTCTTCTTTCCTTCATTCTTTTTTTATTCCTTAATTTCTTCCTTCCAAATATGCCTCTTATTCGCATTTTTCTTTTCTTTCTTTCATTCATTCTTTCATCACACCTTTTCATTTCTGAATTTCTTCCTCCGTTTTCTTTCGTTCTTTCATTCTTTCATTACTTCTTTCCTTTTCTATTTCTTTCCTATCCTTAATACCTTTATTTTTTTATTTATTTAATTCTTTTTCATTCTTTCTATCCTTCATTTATTCTTCTAATGCTCCCTTCATAATAATTCTTTAATCTTTTTTATTTCCTTCTTTCTTCACAAATTTTAATTCTTGACGTTCTTCGTCCCTTTTCCTTTTCTTTCATTCCTTCTTTCTTTTTTTTTTTTTTTTCTTCTATTTTTGTCCCCTACATTCCTTTATTTCATAATTTCTTTTTCCTGCACCTTATCTTTTTCATTCCCTCTTTGTTTTATTCATTCATTCCTTTCATATACTTTCAATCCATTCATTTCTTCTTACCCTTTTTCCTTCTGGCTTTCGTTTCGTTTACCACGCGTTCTTTTTTCATTCTATCTTTCCTGGTTTTTGAGGATCAAATTCACTATTCAGCCATACGTGCTTCCTGTTACGATCGTAGCCCTGAGTAAATATTCATTCCTTAAACTGGGGTTAAAACACTATGAAAGGATAAAAATAGATTTTTATAGTAAAAATACCAGCAGTACATTTTTGAAAACGAAAATATCACCAGCAATAGATTTGACTATCGCTAAAAAATAAGTCTATTTACAAAAATACGTCAATGAAACCTGATTTACAAAATGAATTCTTACAAAGAATACATATTCTATTCATACGAATCTATCCTAAAAATCTTATCGCCTTTAAATAACACATTGAGCTGTTGATATGCCGTAATACAATGTAAACCAAACCTACTTGTTAATCCTATTGCGATTTTTTGCTGCTTGCCAATTTTATGGGAGTTGGTGAACAAAATTAATCAGGGATTCCCCTCCACAGACTTGCACCCCCACCCTACTTTGCACTAAAACTGAAAGGGTTAACTTTACTCTCTGATAGCTGAGATGTTCCCAGAGAAAAACTGTCGAAGAAACTGGACAATTTCTGGCACTTCCAGCATTTACGTGAGGAGCTCTGCGAGTGGTGTAACATAAATCGAAAAACCGAGACAAAATTCCGGGCTAATCTGTTGCGTTCACTTTCTCACTAATCCCGAAATCCGAAAATTATTGTTGCATGTCTTCTCTCCCAGTTATGGATTAAATAGTAGAATATACGGGACACTCTAAGAATATTAAGTCTAAAAGAAGAAAAAACCTGAATTAAAAAATTAACGGGAAACCACTCCACGATATTTTCCAAGAATGCATAGCAATTTACAGATAATAAAGAAGAAGACTGCGAAGAGAGCGGTTATTGCTTACGGCTTGGCGGGATCTTATTCAAACAATAGATTACCGTAATTTCCCATGTATAATACGCCTTCATCCATAATACACACAGCTAAAGTTGTGCTGAAAATGTAAGAAAATGCTTTTACTCACGCATAATACGCACCCCTCTTGTTTGGTAATCAAACTCTATAAATTGTACCTCTCCAATATCATTACGGCCAGCGTTTCCTACGATTTAAAAAATGGTTTTAAACATAGAATAATATTCTTCTAATTTAGTTTTATGATAATTCTTATTTTATTCTACGGCAATTTTTTAAAGATGTTTTGTAGCTGTGCATAATACGCACCCCTGATTTTGCTTATTTTTTAGAAAAAAATGCGTATTATAGATGGAGAATTACGGTAAATAGAGGTGTAGACTAGAATATCTAGCCTTTGCTGGCAATCAGTCTAAAAGAGAGCTCAAAAGTCTAAATTGTAGAGAAGGCAATGGGAAATTCCTCCACTTTCTTGCCGAATAATGCCTTGCAATTCAGAGATAATAAATACAATTATAATTGGTATTGATTGCTAACGTTATGGAATGTTTTAACAAAAAACTTTCGAATTCTATGTTAATTGTAATCCTGTGTCTAATCTACCTCTGATGGTGTAACTTGGCTCGTATTTTTCAATGTTTTCTTCTTTTCAAGGGCATGTCGTTGGCAGCAACTGATTTTCCTATGCGAAACTGTTCTGCAGTCCTTCACATTCTATCGGGGGAACGTTGTACACGGCAAGATTCTTAAGTTCTTTTAACCAAAGTTCATTACCTTCCACAATTTTGACTTCCTTTTTCTAATTTACTCAAATTTGACGTATTGTTTCTTTTTTTTTTATTAATGTTTATTCCAGATAGTTTGGAATATACACAATGGCGTGTTTTTATATCTGTAATTTTCTTCCATTTATTTTTCAGGTGACCTAAATGAAATCGCGCAAAGTCACGTTCTCTGAGTGAGTTCTCGAACTCTTTGCTCTGCCATACACATATACATTATCACGTCAAGATATAACAAAGTGCTCAAATCTGTTTAGAATTCAGGCCCAACAATCTTGAATTACGCCCAGTTGTTCTACATACAGTAAGTAAGTACCGTTCTTCAGTTTTGATGATATTTTAAAACATTGTTACATTAATAATCCCTTTAAAGCATGACATGGTATAATGGTAGATTTGATGGATTTAATCATTGTTCGATTTTTATCAAGAGTTTTAGCTTCTTTCAAGACATTTTCTTTCTCTCAAATTCATTTGTAACAGTCTCTCTCCAGAAAAAATTAAAATTGGCTTCCTTTAATTTTACATGGTGACACGAAGAAAAAAAGTTTTCGCTGTTACGATTACGATATTAGGATTTTGATTTCAGTTTCCTTCTTTTGTATAGACAAGCGTTGCTTTTGCTGACAAACAAAGTAATTGCTATACAGATATAGACTTCAAAACGTAACATCGAAACATTTGACTTTCTTAAGTAGGGTAATTGAGACTTGCTCTGTAATGAGAGATTTCTGTTGTCTCATTGGTCAGTAGATTTTTCTTAAATTGAAAAATAAGCAATGTCGGCTTGATTATTGAATGAAGCATATTTTCTTTCGTAAGACTTCTCTAGCTCAGTCTAGTAGATATTATTTCACTGGTTAAAATAAAACAGGAATGTCTGTTCAAACACGTATACCCAATAAATATAAAGTCTCTCTGTATATATATATATATATATATATATATATATATATATATATATATATATATATATATATATATTAATGCATGTTTCATTAAATAAAATATTCTTAAATGCCTATAATTGATAACAGAAGCCAACGGCTTCCCATGCTTAATACTTCTCGTTTTCACTCTCGCGTGGTCATGTGTGACGTCACGAGCTGCGACATCATTTTGGCTTCCATTCCTCGTATACACGAATTAGTCGTTGCTTTGAAATTTTTCATGTAACAAAAACAGACTATCATTATTGTTTCGTCCGTGTATTGGTTGATATATTGAAATGTAATTATCATCTTTGATAATGGCTTATGTAAGCCGAAAGCTTAGATAGGATTAAAACATGTACCCATATTTCCTTTCGTCTTTCAATTATAATGTTAGTAAACTTATCAGACAATATGAACCGAACGAATGAATGGACACAACTTGTCTATACTATTTAGTGAAACATGCATTAATGAAAAAAAATATACATGTATATATATATATATATATATATATATATATATATATATATATATATATATATATATATATATATATATATATGTATGTATGTATGTATGTATGTAATATAATATAATATAAACCTAAAGAGCCAGGCAAACCTACTTAGGTTTCATCTAAACGGATCGTCAGGCTAAAACTGGTAATATAGGTAAAAAATAGAACAGAATTTATAGCTTTAACGAAAAACAACCATGACCACGTGATAAAAAAAAAGAAGTAAAACCAGTAAAATCTCAACAACGCGGGGGTTGGTAGGGGGTTACGTTCTTTATTCAACGAAAAGAAAAAAGAAGACCAAAAAAAAAAAAAAAAAAAGAAAGAAACCTATTCTAATAACCAGCGTTTTTTATGTCTTTGGCCAGTTTTACCTTTAGTGAAACCTAGGTAGGTTTACCTGACTCCTTACGTTTATATTAGGTTTGCTCTACTTCGTGTATTGAGCACTTTACGCAGTTGCTTTTATTCGTTTTGAAGGGTTTTTTTTTTCTTTGGACTTGGAGCTTAAACACTGGACGATTCTTTTTCCCCTTGATTTAATGTTCTTGGATCTTTCTTTTTTATTCCCCATTTTTCCTTGGGTATTGTTCTGTCCAACTACCAGCCGAAATACTCAAGGTTTTTTTCAAGCGAGTAGCATTTATATATATATATATATATATATATATATATATATATATATATATATATATAATGAGCAATAAAATCTCAAATCACATCATATGGGGAAGTGCTTATTTCGGTCGTCAGTCTTATCAACACTAGTGTCAGAATCTAACATGTGAGGGCAAAATTTTTTTTTAAAAATAACGAAAAACAGTCAAAAAAAATGAATCCAGAATTTATCGATTTCAATGTTTCAGTCAGACGAAATGCACGAGACAGGAGCCAGGGGAGGGTGGAAGGTATTTGTATAACAGGAAGAAGTTTTATAAAAATTAAACCCGAATATTTACCTTATGACAATTATTTGGGATTATATGAGGAATGAAATATTAATTTAAAATTAAAGGAGGATTAAAAAGGGATTTAAAAATAACTTTAACATATATCGAGAAAAGGATGTAAGGGATTAATGGAAAGAGAGTGGGCGGGGTGAGATCTTAGAGGAGGGGAAAGTTTATAAATTATAAATAACAGAGTGTAAAGAGGTTATAGAGTGGGGAATATAGAAATTAGAATTAGTTATAGCATATTTTCTATGAAAATTTGTCGGACATTCAGGCCGGTAAATGTTGTTAATACTGTTCATTATAAACAGAGCATTTATTCAATATTTGTATCTATATAAATAACGTATAACAATAAAATTGTCGGACTTCATTTTGTAATATATATATATATATATATATATATATATATATATATGGGGGGTGCGGGTATGTGTGTGAGAGAGAGAGAGAGTGCATACATTGGATAATAGTTTGCGAGTAACCTTTGCGTTGAATGCAGATCGTAAAATGTCATTTCAACGCCAGATATAAACGTGAAATAATAAAACATTGTCTAATTGGTCAACATCTTTTGACCAATGAAAATCTTCTTCTAAATCGACAGATAAAATCAAAAATAACTCTAACTATTGAAAAAATAGATTTGAAAAGCACGCCGAAGAATTGAAATATTTCTTTTGTTCTACTTTGTTAGGATTTATTTCATAATGTTGAGTATTTTTTCCCGGCTACTACATTGGGTAAACACTCTTGACGTATGGATGACCAGAAAAGACAAAACGTGATACCCGTAACACTGGCCGATTAGCAGTATTTTAAAACTTTGTCAAATGAACAACACGCGTTCTGTGATATATCGTTGCAGCTAGCATCTTGGCTGCTGATTACTTTGGGAAATCAAAAATAGATCCTGCTATGTCCTAGGAACCAAGTAAAAGTGACAGACATTCAATCCCCTTTGCGCATTCATTTAATTTATTAGGTGCGTGAAAAAGACGCCCGTTTGCAAATAAAAGTCTCCATTTTTTTCTCGATCTTTCACTCTCTCTGATATACATACACTCACACACTTTCACACACACTTATTCTCAGACACTTTCACTTTCTCTCGCATACATACACACATACACATACACTCACACACTTTCACACTCTCTCTCACGCACACACATACACTCACACACTTTCACACACACACTTACACTCACACACTTTCACTTTTTCTCTCTCTCTCTGATATACATAGACTCACACACTTTCACACACACTTACATTCACACAATTTCACTTTCTCTCACACATACATACACACATACATTCACACACTTTCACACTCTCTCTCACAAACATACACTCAAACATTCACAAACACATACACTTACACATAAACTCACACACTTTCACTTTCTCTCTCACATACATACACTTACAGACTTTCACACACACATACACTCACATACTTTCACACACTCTCTCTCTCACACACATACACATAAACCCACACACTTTCACAGTCTATCTCACATACATACGCTCGTACACTGTCACACACACATACACTTACACACTTTCACACACTCTCTCTCTCTCACGCACCCATGTACTTTCATTCACTCTCTCTCACATACATATACTCACACAGTTTCACACATAATCTCTCTCTCACACATACACTCATAAACCCACTCTCACACACATAAACTCACACACTGTATGTATGTGTATGTGTATGTGTGCGTGAGTGCGTGCGTACGTGTTTTAAGTTCACTATTATTAGAATGATTTCACAAGTGACTCTTTAAATATTTTTTGTAATTTTTCTACCATTGTCTTGTAGTTTAAAAATAAGAAAAATAGAAAGTCCGGGAAAAGGGTAGCTAAATGGATAGCGGTATGGATTATGCCATCAAGACACCGAGTTCAAATTCCACCCGAATTTATTACATTCACTTACGTGCCTATACCATTGGGAAAGGCATGAATCCATCTCTCCCTTACTATAAGTAAATAAGACGGATTGGTCTCTAGTAGAAGAAAAACTATGAATTCAGACTAATCTAGAGAGGATTGGACTCCGTAAGTTTGTCTTGACCAAGAAGCACACCTGCCGTGGCTTTAAAAGGTGTGTGATGCCCCTGCGACCTTTTCTTGTCCAATGGAATAGTAATACAAATTTGCGTTAAAACCATTATTAAAAGGTTTTGCACGTGAGCTTTCAAACATTAAGGTTTTACAAATTTCAAATGTTAAAATTTGTCTATATCTCTGAGATGAGGTATTATAATTACTTGCATTACTGACATTATTCGGACTGTTATCCTCATCTTCATTGCCATATTCACAATGTTTCGGCCGTTGTACTCTTCGGCCTTTATGTCTATGTCTCTCTGTATATCTGTCTATATCTCTGAGATGAGGTATTATGATTACTTGCATTATTGACATTATTCGGACTGTTATCCTCATCTTCATTGCCATATTCACAACGTTTCGGCCGTTGTACGCTACGGCCTTCTTCAGTTGATTGAATCTCTTAGATGACGAATTATGATTACTTGCATTATTTACATTATTCGAACTGTTATCCTCATCTTCATTGCCATATTCCCAACGTTTCGGCCGGTGGACACTCCGGCCTTTATGTCTATGTCTCTCTATATATCTGTCTATAGCTCTGAGATAAGGTATTATGATTACTTGCATTATTTACATTATTCGAACTGTTATCCTCATCTTCATTGCCATATTCCCAACGTTTCGGCCGGTGGACGCTCCGGCCTTTCTTCAAGTCTCTATATATCTGTCTATATCTCTGAGATGAGGTGTTATGATTACTTGCATTATTTACATTATTCGGACTGTTATCCTCATCTTCATGACCATATTCACAAGATTTCGGCCGCTGTACGCTATAATGTAAATAATATAAGTTAAAATGTCAATTCAATTTAATTTTTACACAATTCTTGGCTAGAGAGCCAATCAGGATAGAGGTTTATTGTCAAAATGCTTATGAGGATTGAGGTGTGTGATATGAATAGAAGAGAAAGTTGCAAGAAATTAAGATTACGAGTATAAGGGAGATACATAATAAGTGACCTTTGATTTGAGGTGATTACAATTGCGGTGTTCAGGGAAGCATCCACGCAGGAGCCTATTCTACAATGTAATAGTTCTTGATGGGGTGGTGAAAATTGTCTGAGTGTAACTTTCTCGGGGGTAGGGCAGATGCGAATGACTCCATGGAAGTAGCAAAGCGAATTTTAGTTGTAAATGTCCGAACAATTGGAACATCTGAATATTTGCCATGAATATAGCAATATAATAACGACCCTCTCGCAACTTTACACTTGGCTGCTGAGTAGAGACTGCATCTTCCCGTAAAAGACCCCATAACCAATTCCCCAAATTAAGGACCGCGCACGTGCCAATCGAAATATGTCAGCAGAAAATTCCATTTCTCGCCAGGTTTGCCTCTTGTGAAGATGCAAGTCTTTCAATGTAAAATCCTTTCTGTTATTAAATGGTTTTCACGCAAGAATCTTTAAACTTAAAGTCCTCATTCTTAAAAGGTTTTCACACGTGTGTCTTTAGATGCTAATTCTTTTCTATTATTCAAAGGTTTTTCGCATGTGATATTTTTAATATAAAGTCCTTACTATTATTAAAAGACGATTTCATAAAATATATTTTACCAGTTATTTTTGTTTTATTTTGACCTTTCACCTTTCGTCTTCAGATGGATATTTTCTCTCGAAAATCTATTATGTATATCTGTAAGTTTAACTTTCGTCAATGCTTAGAATATTGCTTTTGTTACATATATATATATATATATATATATATATATATATATATATATATATATATATATATATATATATATATATTATTTCTTTTTAAAAGGATTTGTGTAGAAAAGGTTCTAGTGTTGTCCATGTCAAGATTCTGTTGGTTAATGTGGTTGAAATTATTGAATCTTAGAAAAAAATCTTTAAAAAAAAAAAAGTAACGGAAAATAAGAAAAAGAGGAAATTTCGTGGAACTGAAAAAAAAAAAATAATAATAGAGTCCGAAATATTTTCTTTTGATAAATGCCATTTGGAGGAGAGATGGTGGTTCCGTCTTTTGGTAACCGTTTTCCTGCCAGGAAAGGTCGAATCAGAATGAAACACAAGGATATGTAGAAAAGAAAATATAGGCGAGAAAAAGGAACTGATTATATATAAGCAAAAAGAAGGAGAGAAAGAGAAAGAGAGTGAACGACAGAAAGGAAGAGAGAGAGGGGGGGATAAAGAGAAAATGGAGAGAGGAAAAATAATCAAAGTGGAAGAGGGAGCTGGGGAGAGAGAGAGAAAAGGATCTTAAGAGCGAGAAGTGACGAGACAAAGAAAGACAAAGAGATATGAAGAGAAATAAACAGAGACTAGTGTAGAAAGGGAGATTGAGAGAGAAAGGGAGAAGGAACGAGATAGAGAGGGGGGGAATAGAGAGAAAAGGAGGAGAGAGAAGGGAGGGGAGAGAAAAGATGATCAGAAACAGAGGCGGGAAAAATATAGAAGTGACAAAGAAAAAGAAAGATTCAAAGAAAGAAAGAGAAAGTATTAAATAATGATAGAGAAAGAAAAGAAAAAGGATATAAAGGGAAATAAAGAGAGGGTGGTGGAGAAAGGAAGAGATTGAGAGAGAACGAGAAGGAAAGAGAGAGAGAGAAAGAAAGAGAAAGCGATAGACAGAGAAATAAAAAGAGGTTGGAGGACAAAGGGAGAGATTGAGAGAAAGCGAAAAGGAAAGAGAGAGAGAGAGAAAGAAAGAAAGAAAGAAAGAAAGAAAGAAAGAAAGAAAGAAAGAAAGAGAAAGTGATATACAGGGAAATAAAGAGATTGAAAGAACGAGCGAGAAGGAACGAGAGAGAGAGAGAGAGAGAGAAAGAGAAAGTGATAGACAGGGAAATAGAAGAGGAGGAGAAACGAAGAGATTGAGAGAAAGCAAGAAGGAAAGGGAAGAAAAGACAGGGAAAGGGATAGATAGGGAAATAAAGAGAGGGTGGTGGAGAAAGGAAAAGATTGAGTGAGAACGAGAAGGAACAAGAGAGAGAAAGAAAGAGAAAGGGATATACAGGGAAATAAAGAGAGGGTGGTGGAGAAAGGAAAAGATTGAGTGAGAACGAGAAGGAACAAGAGAGAGAAAGAAAGAGAAAGGGATATACAGGGAAATAAAGAGAGGGTGGTGGAGAAAGGAAAAGATTGAGTGAGAACGAGAAGGAACGAAAGAAAGAAAGACAGAAAAAAGGATATACTGAGAAATAAAGAGAGGGTAGGTGAGGAAGAAAGTAAGACCTTGAAAGAAAGAAAGCGAACGGCAATTTCTTGAAGACATATACATTTCATTTTTCCATTATCTTTTTTTTTAAATTTTCATGTTTTGTGACAAGTGTATTTCACGATGTTCAAGATTATAGATGCATTTCCGACATGTTTTCTCTGAGTACTTTTAGCCAAAAGAAAATATAGGCGAGAAAAAGGAACTGGATATATAAGCAAAAAGATGGAGAGAGAGAGAAAGAGAGTGAACGACAGAAAGGAAGAGAGAGAGAGGGGTGGATAAAGAGGAAATGGAGAGAGGAAAAATAATCAAAGTGCAAGAGGGAGCTGGGGAGAGAGAGAGAGAGAGAAAAGAATCTTCATGGAATAGAATTATTCAACTTCTGAAACTACATATTTTCCGTGTTCATCAATGAAATATCAAGATACCTGCCTATATACCACTCCCCCAAAAGTCGTTTTCAGAAGTTTACAGCCGCCCTGTTGTTTTGTTTTTTTGTTTTTGTTTTTTGAATGTGTAAATTGACCACAGATTCTCGACTGGATTTAAATCAGCAGAGTTTCTTGGATAGTCTATAGTACTTTGATTTACTCACTGGTAAGGCTTTCCAGTGTGTTTGTGCAGCGTTACAATTTTTGTATGCTCCCTGGGTGTAAAGTCCATCGCAGTTAATGGTCGTAGGACAACTAATCGACAGTCGAGATAATAGTGTCTGGGTGTGATGAAAATCTGATGCAATCACGGATGACGCAATATTTTTTCAAGCCCAAAGAAATTTCATCAAACACCCCGAAAATAGATTCATATTACTGCGCACCACTGCAAATGACCTAATCAGAGGAAAAAAAAACTCCAGTGATATCTAAAACTGACCTTATGGTGAAAGAAGGGAAACTAAAGCGGTTGTTTCAATTAATTTACACAAGGGTTTATGTCTATCTGCCTGGGTATTCTGGAGACTTCATAAAGAAAATGCGATTTCCGTCAGCGTTCGGACCTTCGATCCTGTAGGGGAAACACCCGTCTGATCCATTCGTCACATCACAGTGAAGTTAAATTACCCTTTTTGAATAATACACACCCTCCCGTTCTGTATTTTCCGAAAGCCCATATCTGCTCCTAGTTTTTTTGTTTCTGAAGCATAAACAAAATAATTTCCTAGGAATCAATGAATTATTTTGTCCGACATTTTGTCACCTTATTTTGTAGAGAGCCAAGTTTTAACAGAATGAATCTTCTACTCAAAGTAGATATCCAAAATAACGTTTCTATTGGTAAGAAATAAAAATGCGTCGATTGTTTTATTGAAATACTAGCTGCTTGAAGAGATTCAAGGGAAGATTCCATATTCGTGTTGCTGGAAAAGCAACGAATGCAGATGAGGAAAGAGTTTCCAAGATTTTTGAAAGTCTGGTTCAAGTAATTACGTGTGAAAGGACTCTAGAACAACAGATGAACTAAACAGGAATTGTTTAGGAGACGGATACCAGCGCGTATTAACATCCAAACGGAATCCAATTGAATGTCTGAATTTAAATCATTTAAGGATAGCTTCACTCTGCTAATTTAAGCTTAAGACCTTTTTTAATTTAACATTCAGAAAACCTGTATGAACACACACAACCAGTCTACTTTCGTTCTGACCATAAAGCATGGAGAATGCAATCACCGTTTTTTGAATTGTTTTATCCCTCGTTTTATCCCTTATTTTTTTGTGAATATTGCTTAGGGAGAGGAATTCTTTCAGAATTTTATTGATAGTGGATAATGCACCTAGACATCTCCTACATCTAGACGATCACCATCCCGACCTTGAAATGTTTTATTATTTTTATTTTTGTTGCCGCCAAGGACGACTCCAGGCATCCAGCCTATGAACGAAGGTTCGATTGTTGCATTCACAGGCGACCTTCAGGAAAGACATAGCCCCTATAGATACCGATCCAGAATTATCACTACGAGGTTTTCGGAAACAGTTCATCGTTTATGTGTATCAAGGATCTCGTTTTCGGATTTGAGAAAAGAGGTAGTTGAATAGCATCTGGAATAAATTGTGTTAATGATGTCGGATGTGACAGTGAACATGAACTTGAAATGATTCGGGAAATATAGTAAAACTGGCCACTCCCTTTCTTTGGAGTGTGAAGTGGAAGATGTCGAGAAGGCTTTAGACCTAGAAACTGGAGAGCCTACAAATGAAGCGCTAATTCCACTGGAAGAACAAGAACAAGAAGACGAGAAATAGAAAAAAGAAAAAAACAAGAAAAAAGAAGAAGAAAGAAGAGAAGAAATAAGAAGAGAAGAAATAAAAGAAGGAAAAGGGAAGAAGAAGAAGAAAGAGAAGAAGAAAGAGAAGAAGAAGAAGAGGAACAAAGAAAAGAAGAAAAAATAAAGAAGAATAAAAGAAGAAAAAGAAGAAAGAAAAGAAGAAGAAAGAAAGAAAGAAAGAAAGAAGAAGAGAAGAAAGAAAAAAGAGAAGAGAAGAAGTGGAAGAAAGAAGAGAAGAAAAAAGAAAAGAAAAAAAGAAGAAAAGAAGAGAAGAAAGAAGAGAAGAAAAAGAAAAGAAGAAAGAAAGAAAGAAAGAAGAGAAAAAAGAAGAGAAGAAGTGAAAGAAAAAAGAGAAGAAAAAAGAAAAGAACAAGAAGTAAGAAAGAAAGAAATAAAGAATGAAAGAAGAAAAAGAGAAAGAAGAGAAGAAGAAGTGAAAAAAAGAAGAAGAAGTGGAGGAGAAAGAAGAAGAAAGAAAGAAAGAAAGAAAGAAAGAAAAGAAGTAGAAAGAAAGAAAGAAGAAGAGAAGAAAGAAGAGAAGAAAGAAGAGAAGAAAAAAGAAAAGAAGAAGAAAAAAGAAAGAAGAGATAAAAGAAGAGAAGTGGAAAAAAAGAGAAGAAAAAGGCAAGAACAAGAAGTAAGAAAGAAAGAAAGAAAGAAAGAAAGAAAGAAAGAAGAAGAAGAAGAAGAAGAGGAAGAAGAAACGAAGAAGGGAGGAGGAGGAGGTGCCAGAAAGCAAATTTACTCATAAGGGATTATCAGAAGGTTTATTTCTACTGAATAAATCCTCACCATTCACATTTTGAAGGCTTGAAAACAAACAGCCAACGATTTGCAAGGAGTGAATGTATAGCGCACAATGTTTTTTTTTGTTCATATCGTGAAATTATTGAGGAGAAACAGAAACGCACAATTCAGACAAACATCGCCATGTTTATGAAAAAAAAAAACCCAAAAAACCAGCCTCACCGGCTACCCTTCCCCAGCTGACGACATCGACAATCCACAACCTACGGCTAATAAGAGGTTTTGTATTTGTATGTTTTTTAATATGTTTTGCAACTAAAATGTTTTCTGTTTTTTGCACCTATTTTTCTATATATGTTATGCAAATATTAAGCCGACTGAACTGTAGTAGGCAGTGTTTGACTTAAAAGTTGTTGAACGTAACCGGAAGAAACAAATAAATGTGTAGAAAGATAATAAAAAAATGGTATCGAACGGAAGGAAAACGTAAAAACTATTTAAAAAATAATACATATAATGTTCAAAGAAAGATAAAAAAAAAAAAATATTGCAAAATTAATTACAGATCGACGTCCGACCAGATCGATTTACGACCTTTCGGTCCTAACCAATTGTCTTAACTAATCGACGACGATATATATATATATATATATATATATATATATATAGAGAGAGAGAGAGAGAGAGTGTGTGTGTGTGATTGAAAAAAACGAAAGCTTTGTGAAAATAAATAATTACCTTTCTTATCGTTACTATTAACCTCTAAACAAAAATGTGACGCTACGGCGAACTGGGTGACGGTATAGGCAATGGTCTTATTTACAAAAATGTAGAATATATGCGTGCTTGCATCTTAGTGAAAAAATGTCTGAAGTGAAATGTTTCTTTGCTTCCTTTCTTTCTTTGCGCATGCGCGTCTCTCAATAAGTAAGCGTAATAAAAGTAGATAGGTTCGCCTATCGTCCGGTTCCCCCATCCTTCTTGATCTTTTGAACAGGATTAGAGGTTTATCCCTTATTTCCTGTATAGGATTGTGTTTCCGGCTCCTTCTAAAGTGTACTTCATCTCTGTACTTCTAACGTCTCGACGTAAGCTCTGAAATTTTAGTTACTGTATATTTTTTTAAATTTTTTATTTATATATTCTATCCCCAACAGAATTAGTTAGATCTACCTATCGCCCGGTTCACACTCCTCTCCGATCTTTTGAACAGTAGTGCTTTATCCCTTGCCTCCTGTTTAGGACTGGGTTTCCAGTTCCTTCTTAAATCTTCTCATTCACTTTCACTCCCAGTAATCCCTTGCGTCTTAGTGGCATTATCGACTTGCTTGAGGTGAAATTATGAAAAAAAAGTTTGTGCTTTTGTCTATTTATCTCTGTTCCAACAGACTTGTTCGCTCCTAAACATATCATAAAATCTCAGTCATTATTTCTAAATTAAACTCCCATAAGGTAAGCGGAGGTGACGTGATTCCAGCCGTCACCATAAAGAAATGTTCCCCCAAGCTGGCTCCTGTTCTCTCGAAACTATACAACTATTACCTCACTGCTTTCTGCTTGTTGGAAGTGCTCCTCTGTAGTTCCTGTTTTTAAGAACACTGGAGGACCTTCTGACCCCTCTATCACTCTATTAGTCTCCTACTGCTTATCGGCAATGTACTCGAGGCTTTAATCAACGCTGAAGGGGTTAAGCATCTTACCTCTCACAACCTACTGTCTGGCTTTCGTTTCGCTCGTTCTACCATTGGTGTACTTACAGCCATCACTGAATGTGTATATCAAGCTCTTGATAATGACTGGGGAGCTGGAGCTTTGTCTGTAGATATCTCGAAAGCGTTTGACAGGGTTTGGTATCCTGCCCTTCTACGTAAACTCCAGGGCTAGGGTTTTACTGGAGGATTGTTTGATTTAATCCAATCATTTCTATCAAATTGTGAAGGTTGTATTGAACAGGCTCGCTTTGAGATCCGTTTACACAAATGCGGGTGTCTCCCAATCCTGGGTCTTAAGCTATTCCTGATCTTTATCAGAGATCTTCTTGATGTCCCCATGTAGATATTTATGTTGATGGCACTACCATTTAATCCTGTCTCAATAGAAAATCCGTCAGAGTTCACAAAGTTAACCTGGCTGCTGCTATTGAAAAGTACCTCCAATCAGTGTTTAACTAGGACAGGAAATGGCTTGTAAATTTTAAAATTCCAAAACGAAACTACTTTCATTTGACCAACATAGAGAAACTTTCCTGTCCACTATCAGAATGACAGTTGCTAGACACATGAAGAGCAACACGCAGCGCCTTCTTGGCCTCAAGTTTTCAACTGACTTCAAGTGGAACGACTACATCGAATCAATAGCTGCATCTATTGCAAGGAGTGTTAGGTCACTGTGCCGTGCCAAAAGATTTCTCTCGTCAGAATCCATCTATTGTAATTAATTTTGCAATATTTTTTTTTATCTTTCTTTGGACATTATATGTATTATTTTTAAAATAGTTTTTACGTTTTTCTTCCGTTCGATACCATTTTTATCATCTTTCTACACATTTATTTGTTTCTTCTGGTTATGTTCAACAACTTTTAAGTCAAACACTGCCTACTACAGTTCAGTCGGCTTAATATTTGCATAACATATATAGAAAAATAGGTGCAAAAAACAGAAAACATTTTAGTTGCAAAACATATTAAAAAACATACAAATACAAAACCTCTTATTAGCCGTAGGTTGTGGATTGTCGATGTCGTCAGCTGGGGAAGGGTATCCGGTGAGGCTAGTTTTATTTTTTGTTTTTTTGTTTTTTTTTCATAAACATGGCGATGTTTGTCTGAATTGTGCGTTTCTGTTTCTCCTCAATAATTTCACGATATGAACAAAAAAAAACATTGTGGAACTTCCCTCCTTTGCATCTGCCATTCGTCCATACATTGAATACTGTTGCCAAATCTGGTGTTGCTACTCATCTCGAGGGTCTTGACGAAATCCAAAGGATCTGAAAATGTAACTTGATTTGGCATTTCGACTTCGGTCACTTTCTCACGCTTTACAAATATTTTCATGGCAATATTTTTACCCTACTGCCCGGACTACGTGAGTTTAAACGTGCTACTAGACAGCAATCTAGCTACCCACATGCTGTTGAATTAAGTTAATATATCTGTCTATATTTCTGAGATGAAGTATTATGTACACTATTTACATTATTCGGGCTATTGTCTTCATCTTTCTTGCCATATTTATCACAACGTTTCGGCCGTTGTACGCTCTGGCCTTCTTCGGGTGGTTGGACTGTCGAACTGAACTGGCTGGGGTAGACTGTTCTAGTTCCACGTGCCATGTTTAATGGATGTCAGTTATCAGTTATCTCTTGTTAATTTCCATCTCCAAGTTCTCCACCACCTTAACCAAGTATTGAACTCACAACTCTTTGGGTCCTGTCACTGGATCTAACTAACGCCTTTATCTACTGTGCAATGTGACCTTAAGAACATCTGTGTATCAATTTCTGGGATTTATAAACTTAATGACTTCAGCAACCATTTTTATCAGTGCTCATATTACAATTTTTGCTGTTATCATTGCATTTTTTTTTTACCAGAGTTCATATTGTAATTTTCGTTGTTATTATTTATATGCAACAAAGATTAGAACAATAGTCCAAATAATGTAAATAATGTAAGTAAATGTAATCACCAGTTTTACTCAAACAGTTTCTTTGGCCTGTGGAATTTCCTTCCGTTTTTTTGCTTGCCTGATAACTACAATCTTCAAAAATTTAAATGCAACGTCAGTTGCCATATTTTATCTTCTTGAACCCCGTTTAACTTCTATACTTTCCTCATCACATATAAACAGTCTTTTCTCTCACCTTCAATCTCTGTAAACCCTTGCGTACTGGTGGCATTCACGCCTTGATTGAAGTGAAATGACTAAAAAGAAATTTTAGCGGCTCTAAAACGAAAATTCTCTTTGTTAATCATCTGAGACCTCTTTCTGTCTCTCATAAGAATGGCTGATGCTAACCTCCAAATATGTGACGTGTTGCGTCTTCTCGGGTTAACGTTCTTGGCTGTCATGAAGTCGAAAGATTATATTAAATCAATTGCAAAGTCTTCTGCTAGGAATGTTGGTTCACTGTGTCATTCTAGGCAATTTATTATATTTTACATGTTTATAAGTCTACCATTCGTCCATGCTTTCAATATAGCTGCCGCATATGGTAAATATATTTAGAAATTCTTAATAAAATCCGAATAAGAATCTGCAATGTTATTGCTCCTTACCTGGCATCTCGGTTTCAGTTATTTTCCCACAGCGATAATGTAACTTCCCTGTGTCAGTCCTATGAATAATTTCGAAGTAATTTTGTTGATGAGCTTTCCTCTTGGGTACCAAAACTTTATGAATTTAAGCGCAGTACTACATCGGCAACAAAGTCTTAACACTTTACAGTTAAATTGGATAGACGTAACCGTAAGTTCTATGTAAACATTTCCTTCTCTCGCACTCCCTTCCGGATTCTTGCTTTCTTCTCAACTTTGATCTTCAAAAGTTTAAATATCATGTAAGTCGTTATCTACTGTCTTCCTGGTTACTCTTCTATTGTTCGCACTCAATTTTCACTTGTGGAATTGTCTTCCGATTCCTTGCTTTCCAGTCAGATTTGATCATCAGAAATTTAAATGTAATGTCAATCGTTATCTACTGTCTTCCTGATTCCTCTTCTTTTATTCTTTTTTCACTTCTTTATAATGATTTTAGTTGTCGTGTTCATTCATACTCAATAAGCGCTTTTGTCTTAACGGCTTTATTGCTTTGCTTGAAGTGAAATGATAAAAACAAAACTAAGCTCACACGCATTTTACATAGATAACGCCCTTCGTAAGAAGGGAGCTGTAATTGCGAGAACAATATTATTTATTTATTTATTTAACACATTAGCTGCTTGGGATCCGTGTCAGACCTTTTTTCAATTAAATTCAGGGTTACAACCACAACTGCAATT